AATTGAAACTAGGTTCCCAGTAATTTTTTTTCAAATTTGGGAGAAATTTTTTTCCCAACCCCTCCTTTGGGCAATCCTTTAAATGTTTCCTTTTCAACTGTGGGGAAGCGCTTTTTTAAAAATAGGTACTTTTAGGTAAAATACTTAAATGGAAACGTTAAAAAAATTTGGGGAAAAAATTAATAAAAGATTTAAAGGAAAAATTTTCTAATAAAAAATTTTTATTGGCCAAAAACATACTAAATTTCCCCAAAATCCAAGTGGGTGGTTTTAAACTTTTTTGTTGGGCATAAATTTTTACTGCCCGTTTTATTCAGCAAATTTCAAAAATATTTTTCATTTGGGAGTTTTCGCATCCAAACTATACTGTAAATTAAAAATTTTTGATTCTTATTTTTTATTTAATTAAACCCAAATTAAAAGACTTAAAAAAAACTGTTATTTTAAAATAAATGTATTTTTCAATTTTTTTTTTAATTGAAAACCCCCTCAAAAAATTTATGGGAACGGAAGGATTTTTTGATTTTCGCCAAGCATTTTTTGATTTTTTTCCCAAAACATTTTTGGTTTTAAAATTTAAATAGCTGCCCAAAAAAAAATTTGGTAAAAAATATGTAATTTTAAGCTAATTTGAACAAGTTGAAAACCTTTAGAAAAATTTTCCAAAGTATTTTCTCATTTTATTTAAACATTGTTAAGGTTTTTGGGGTTTTTCCCTGTGCCTTATTATTGGGTTTTTTGTTAAAAAATAAACAGACAGAATCAAAAAAGTTATTAATAAATTTCCATTTAAGTTAAAAGGCAAAATTTTAAAAAAAAAAATTAAAAAATTCAAGAGCTTTTGAGGGCTTGGAAGTGCATTAAATTTATTTTTCAAAATTATAAAAATTTGTAAAAATTTAAAATTTACACTAATAGGAAAGTAAAAAAGTTTAAACAGTTATGTAATTTGAATTTTTACTAAAGTAAAGCCCCTCCCGGGTTTTTAATTTTAAAGAGTGTATTAAGAAAAGGTGAAAAAAATTTAAATTTAAAATTTTGCCCCTTTTTTTTAAATTTTTTAATGGGTTTTTTTTTAAACTTTCCATTTTTATGAAAGATTTCAATGCCTTTTTTCCCCAAAAAGTTTTAAATTTAATAAAAAGTTTGGGGAAATTTTTTTAATTTTAGGCTCTTAATTTTTCCCTTTAAAATTTTAAAAAAAAATTTAGTGGGAGGTCTAAAACCCTTTTTAGTAATTTATTGAAAAAATTTAAAAAAAGGCAGTAACTTGACCTTTACCAAAAAAAGGCACCCCTGTTTATTTTTAAAATTTTTAAAACCTGTTTAAATTTGGGGAAATTTTAATTAAAGGGGGTACTTTTTTACAATAAAATTTTTGTTTCCCAAAACGAAATTTTAAAATAGACGATTTTTTATTAAAATTTTTAAATTTAAACCTCACTTTTTCTTTAGTTTTAAAAAAAAATTGGGGGCTTTTCAATTCAAACCCAAAATTTGGGTTTAATTTTTAAAGCCAAGAGGGAAAAATTTTTTAATTTATTTTTTTTTTGAATTAAATTCCCAAAAAAAAGATTAAAAGTTGAAAGGCCGGGTTTTTGTGTTATTTTCAAAAAGTGTAAAAATGTTTAAAACTTAAAAATTTGAAGCGTGTTTTCCTTTTTTAAAACTATTGGGGAATGGTGCCTTCAATTGATGGGTTGAAATCCTTTTTAAATGGGGGAAAATTTTAACCCCTAAATTTTAAATTCCCTCTAATTAAGGGTTTTAAAATTTAATTTTGTTTTAAAATCTATTCAAAAATATAAGAAAAAATTTAAAAAATTTTAAAAATTTTTATTTCTTTTTAAAATTTTAAAAAATTTTTTTTGGATTTTGGGGTTTTACCCATTTACCCAAATCCAAAAGAGGTTCCTAATCATTTAATTAAATTAGCTATCCCAAATTTTTTATATTTTTTAAAATTTTTTCAAATTTTTTTATGTTGTTTAAAGTAAAAAAAGGGCCCAAAGGAAAATAAATTTTACCCAAAGAAAAGTGAACAAAAAATTGTCAATAAAAATTTCAATTTAAAATTGTTGACAAATATAATTTGTTATTAAAAACTGCACTGTAAAAGTAGCCTCAAACCTTTAAATTTTAAAAAATGTCTTTTAAAATTTTTTTTATCAATTTTTTTATTTAAAAATTTTTTAAATTTTTTTTTATGAAAATTCCTTTATTGTCTTATTTTTTTTAGATCACATCATCATTATTTTATTCCTTTTCCAAATTTATTTTATTTTTAATTTTTATTTTTATTAAATTAAAATTTAAATTATTTTTTTAATTTTTTATTATTAAACAATTCTTTTATTATTATTTATTTTTTGTTTAGATTATTTTATTTTTTATAATGTAAAAATTTATTAATTTACCCATAATTAAATTTTATCTAATATTTAATTCCTTTTTACGAGTTGCTTGAAGTCTGTCTTTTATTATTTTGTGAATTTTTTAATTTATTTAAATTTTAATTTAAAGTATTTTAAACCCCCTTCTTACCCAAAAATAATTTTGCCTTATTTTGTACTTAATTTTACCATGAACATGGCCCAAAAAAAAGGGGCCAAAGTTTTTAAATCTATGATACAAAAATGGAAAAAAAGAAAAATTTTAAATTTTTTTAACTTGTAATTTAAAAAAAGGTTTTTACTTGAAAATGATTTTAAAAAAAAATTTTTAAAAGGGTACCCCCTAAAATGTAAAAAAACTTAAAAAATAAACTCTTAACATTCCCGTCCAAATTTTTTTTCATTAAAAAAAATTAAACAAAAGTGGAGTCTCACCAAAACTGTGATACCCTCGCATTTATTTCCCCCATTTCCCTAAAGGGCCCCGTGTGGGTTTTTTAAACCCCAAATTTTTCCAAAATTTTGTCACCAAAAAAAATTTTTAATCTATTTTGAAGATTTAAAAAGCAAAAAAAAATATTTTTTTTAAAACTGATTAGTAATTTAAAAAACTGTTTTTTATGAACCCGTTAGATTAAAAAAAAACATTTTTTTTTTAAAAGCGGGCAATTTAAACCAAAGTTTAAAAAACCTTTAACTTTAGCCCTTGAAAATAGCAAAATTGGGACCCACTGACCCAGCTAGATTTTCGTAAAATTTTTTATGTAGAAACTATTTTAATTTTTTTTTTTAAAAGGGTTTTTCAATTTACATTCGTGGGCTATCATAACTAATTAAAATGAAATAGCGAAATTTCATACATGTGAGATGATCCATGGTCGTCATAAAAAAATTTAAAAATTTTCAATTTTACCCCGGCCCCCCCGTTTTGATAAAATGACAAAGTACCAAATTTACCAAAAAAAAATGAAAAATAATAATTTAAATTTTAAAAACTTTTTAAAAATTAAATTGGGTTGGGAAAAAGAATTTTGTCCTTTTAAAAAATTTGCTTGATTCGTGTTCCATTTCCCACCAAAAAACATCAAGAACAAAACCCCTTCAATCGTTTAAAAATCCCAAAAAAAATTGTGTTATAGGGGACAAAAGAAAAACACCCACGTTTAAACGATTCAATTTCCCAGAAAAAAATTACTTTTCATTGCTGTTTTGGGCCCGCGAATTTTTTCCCTTTTTTTCAAACAAATTAAAAAAAAAATTTTCCTTTTTTACAAAATTGACGCCCGCGTTTTTAAAAAATTATGAGTAGAAAACAGTACCCAAAGTCAAACCCGGGCAGGGTATAGTTTGGGTTCCCCAAAAAACCGAGGGCTATTCTTTTTTGAAAAAGTTTATTTTTACCAAATTTTAGGTTAATTTTTAAAGCTGTTTTTAAAAATTTTTTTATTTTTTTAAATTTAAGGGTCTACCCCGGGTTTAAATTTGGGGCCGAAAATTTTTTTTATATTTATCTTTTTAAAAGGACACTACCTTTGTTGTTTAAATTTTATTGCAATGTTTTTTTTGAAAAATATTTTCAACCTTTGGGTATCTTCGGCACCCTTTATTTGAAAGGTTTTTTACCGTAGCGTTTTGTCAAAAGGGAAATTTGGGAATTTTACGTAAAATTTTGGGGGCACGCATTCCAAAAATTACCGGAATTTTCTATAAAAAAAAAGTTACGGGGAAATATATAAACCTTAAAAAAAAGTTAAAATTTACGGGGCCCGATAGTAATATTTTCCACGGTTCCCGAAAATTTATTTTGGGTTTTATTTGTCTATTGCAAACGTAAAAAGAAAGCAAATTTAAAAATGAAATCCGTAAAATTTGAACTGCGTTCCCCGCCCGCCTATTTGGGCCCCTGTGTTGCTTAATAAATCCCATTTAAAATGAGAAATGATAGCAACAGTGGATTTGTCAGATGGGGGTGGCAGGTTGGGGCTTTGGTTCCTGCGGTTTTCCAAAAAAGCCCTTTTGTTGGTTTTTTTGTGACGCGGGCCCTTTTTTTCTTAAAAAGGATGTGCATTTTATTTTATCCCCAATTTGGGGGGATAGTGGGGCAAAAAGCCTTGGATTAAATTTTATATTTTCATGGGTTTTGGGAAATTTAAAAAGAAAATTAATAAAAAAAATTTTTATATAAATGAATTTATAAAACAATCTGTAAACAGAAGGTTTTAAAAAAAAAAACAAAAATTTTTAAGCTTTTTTTTCACGGGCACGGGAAATTTTTACAGAAGGATGTGGGTTTTTATGATAGGCCCCCAGAGATCTTGTGAAACTGTCCGGAAGGGGAAATTTAAAAAAAACAAAAATTGTCAAAAAAGGGAAAATTTTTATCTTTTAAAAACGAGTTTTTAAGGGGCTAGGGTTAAAAATTTATTTATTTTAAAATCGCCATGAAACTAGGGATTATGGCAAAAATTATTAATAGTCCAATTTTTTAGGGCCCATTGTTTAAAATCAGGAAGTTTATACATACATTATATATAATGTTTATATACCTTGAACCTTGTTCGTATGAATAAAAAATGATAAAAGTCTTTAAAATAAAATAAAAGTCGAACCAGACTTACTCTTTATCACAGATGACTTTGTAATTTGGTAGTTTTGACCATGGTGAATTCGAATCTTGGATTGTAAGTCTTTGAGTTCTTTTCACCTTCAAAAGTTCTTGAATACAAATTAAACCGGTTGCACACGCTGAAAAATAAAGTTTAGATAATTTGAAACTCGAATTGAAAAATGTAACATTTATAAATGACGCTTTTGTTGATATGAGCCGCGTCACGACAAAACCAACATAGTGCGTTTGCGACCAGCATGGATCCAGACCAACCTGCGCATCCGCGCAGTCTGATCAGATCCATGCTGTTCGCTTACAAACCCTTTAAGGTAGAGAAACTGATAACGAACAGCATGGATCCTGATCAGACTGCGCGAATGCGCAGGTTGGTCTGGATCTATGCTGGTCGCAAACCCATTATGTTGGTTTTGTCATGGCGCGGCTAATATATTGAATTTATGTTGATGTTTTAACTTAAAGGCTGTATAAAGCTGCTGGTTTTATTTTGTACCTTGCTTAAAACAAAGGTTGTAAAATAAAACAATACTCTTTTTATGCACTTCATTCTGTCAACGGTCAAAAAACATATTTGCCCGAGGGATAAAACTTATGACACGTGACTTCGTAAAAGTGACTTGTCAGATCATGTGATCGCGCTGTTATTTTAATGTCATGTAAGGACAGACAATAGGCTATTAGCTCTGTTCTTTTTGCAAATTCATTCAGTGATAACCTCACTTGTGCACATACGAATACTTAAGGCAATATTCTGTTATTCAATAATTTAAAATGTGTGAGCATAATAAGAAAAAACCTCAAGATTAATAAATAGGAAGTATTTTACTAAATATGGTCTGAAAACATAACGGTATGGCATCAAATATATCATAAGACGTCGACATTAATTCCTGGAGTTGACAGTATTGATGTTGAATTCGTACATGGTGAAATATGATATTTAAAGTTACTAAGTTTTTGCCATTTACTGTTAATATCTAGTCATTTCTATATGAGCAGCACTTAAATTGAATAGTGGCCGTTGATCATCGTTGCAACTCATGTTCCCTTAATATACATTGTATCATTAATTCCGACATCGTCACCTCCCAATATAACAATTGTAAATTATCTGTTAAACATAAAATGTTCTAATCACTTTTCTGTTTCAAGTAAGGATTTGTGAATTACAACTCTTTGTATTATTTGTTTATTTTCCCCCACTATTCTGAACACATTGGGCGTTCCATTTTCTCCTCCTTTCTTCTTTCTTTTCACAGTGCCTGTTCAGCAGCCTGTATGGTGCCTTTTCGCTGGTCCTGTGTGAATGAATGTTTTGGGTTGCACACCACAAACATCGCTTCCCTTGTTGATTGTTATCATATGTTTACAATAAATGGCTTATTTATATATCTATAAAACATATCGTAGTTATTGAGAGAGTTATCACCGCCATGTTTTCGAAGTGGATATATTTTTAATGTCAATTATATCTTCTGCTTAGCCTACAAGACACCACATGCGGGTCTTACAAGATTTTGCGAATTTCCCATTTCGTTACAATATAACTAAGTTATAAATGCAGTTAGAAGATAATAAATTATAATTAATTTATTCAACTTACAACACATTTGATCGATACTGCTAAAGTATTGAATGTCTTTGATATGATACGGTCCAAATTCCAACACCTCAACTTCTACTCTGTTCAGAAACGCTGGACATTCCATAAAATGCCGATGAATACATTCAATCAAAGGTTTTGATCGGTTAACACTGCAAGTACACGAACAAAGAAAGCTACGAAAAAAGCTAAGGGAACCATTTAGAACAATAGACACTGATGAATGTAACATGTTCACATATACCAGTACAAGGCTTGTGACATCACGACATTGCGCAGTAAAAAATGATAATATATTATGCCAGAAATGATGATAACAATTTGAAACCTATCATACCCTAATCCTTCTCATTTTACTTAATATGTTTTTATGGCAATCTAATACCACAACAAAAATCAAGGAAAGCTTTATGTCGGATTAAATATACTCATTTCATGAAAACAAAAATAAATCATTCCATCACCACAAGTTTTAATGTTCAGTAGAGATCTTAATTCGAACTAGTACTCACAAATATCATATAGTGACCTAAATACGGACGCCTACTCACTAATATTCAATAGTGACCTAAATTCGAACACTTACTTATTTTCAGTAGTGACCTAATTTGGAACACTAAACTTATTTTCAAAAGTGGCCTAATTTCAAACACTTACTCACAAATATCATCAATAAAGCCGGTTAGATTTTGATCAAGGACATAATCCATTGCATTCTTGCCCAGTGCCTCAAAACAGGCTACAAAATTGTCTTTTCGTGGGACCATACAATTTGTTGGCTTTTTCGTCGTAGCCGCAACAGTGACAGTTTTGTTTGAAGTTGTTTCTGTGTGAAGAAAATCATCAAATATCCCTTATTTGAATTGTTGTGTTTGAAGATTTATATTTGAAAATATTCAAACTATGATTCATATCGGATAATCTGCATAATTAACACGAATATTTGCATATATTTCAAACTAAGTGATATAAAGTTTATGATAATTTTATATCTAAAATGTCCACGTTTAGATTAACATCTTTTAAACATTTATTTAATTGTACATACACTACATTTCTAGGAATGAAAATGAAAAATAAAATCACATAATACTGTCACGTGTTACTACTTTTGGCTCAATTATGTTATTTGGAAAGAACATAGGCACGACTTTTATTTAGTATTATGTACTAAATTCACATTTCAAATGTACTGGTAAACAGTATGGATGAAGTTACGACTGTTTTTTACATGAATGAAAGGGATTTGATCCAAAAGACCTAAAGCTTTTAATTAATATTCGCATTATACACACACAAGTAAGATAGTATTGGGACTAAAGACTTCAAATGCTAAATACTACTTGTGCTTTTAATGTATCTGTTTATATTTGTATCGAAAAAAACTTTACATGTATAGCTTAACTGAACTCAGTTTTACGTACATCATAATTATTATGTATATACATCAATACAGCCATGGCGTTGTAATATTTTAACATTATACATTAAATTTGAATGCATACTGTCTTAAAAAGGTGCTTTTCGATAATTCTACGGTTGCACAAGGCGGTTTAACTGGCTTTGATTTGTTTTTGTCCCATTGAAATGATGCTGTGAAGTCAATTCATCAGTGCAAAGCAAACTAGTGCAATTAGCTCTGTGGTGCTTTCAACTCTAAAAAAATATTAACAAATCAATCATAATTGCATTCAAGCAGTATCAAGCTAACTACAGCAAAATTTTCCTTTCTGTGTTATTGGACATACCTGGATCAGGAACATTATCTGTGGACACTGGTTTCGCTGTCTTTGGCTCAGTTGTTGTTGACGTGGACATGTTGGCATCTGCCTGACCAACTTCAAACTGCGAGTGAGAGTGCTCGAAATCGGTAATGTGACCGTAGCTAGATCCAGCACATACTGTAAGATAGTTATTTATTGAATTGATTAACACAGCTTTCCTTTTTATCCCTGAAATGGTGTGATTTTTTACTTAGAGCCACGAATGAAAATATCAATTGTTCGAATAAAGGAGGTCTTCTCTTTAAATAGAATTTCATTTAATTAAGACTGGAATTTTTTTTATTTCGGGCGGTTATAGAGTCCGAGGAATGTGGGTTATGTATGAAGTAATAACTGATACATTACAAAAATTACATATGTGACATGAATGTTTATTTACAGAAACACCGGCTGAGTGTCAAGATGCGCACGTTTGAACTTAAAGTTATATCTGTAAAAAGATCTATTCGGCATAAATAGGGGTTTATTTTCAGTAATTGTAATGTGAACAATATGCTTAAATACATTAGCATGTGTTTCTTTGGAATTTCGACGAACGAGAAACGTGACTGTACTAATCATTATGTTATGCCTATTTCTTATTCCGTATTTAATTAAGGAGATTTAGACGTAAATCTTTGTAGAAATATCAAATGTACTTGTATTATGTTAACACTTATAAAGGGATATGGATTTGGCTGAACAGTTACAGTCGTGTAACCATTGGAAGACTTAATTTATGTGTCGTATGTGACAATGTTTCACTAAGTGTGGCCTCTTAAAATGAATGTCAACGGTAATAAAAAAATCATTTTGCCCCTAAACATATGCACAGCGTGAGAATGGATAGATTTATTATCATAAGAAAAAAAAACCTTTTTCGCATTAAAGCAGCACGCCTCCAGATTCATGCTTATTTTCATGAAAATTTTGAAAATGTATTTGAATGAATAATATTGTGAAATAACCAAAAGGAAGCAATTTACACATTATCAATGGCACCTATACAACCCACGTTAATTACCAAAAAGTGGGCAAAATATGCATAAATAGCCCTTACTGCGTTTGTAACGCAGTAGCAATATACTTGTAAATACCAAAAACTCAGTCATAAACCGCACAAAACATGTAAAATAATACTTGAATCTTGAATCATTTTACTTTTCCTAAAATCTTAGTACATATTTCTCAAGTTTGATTTTATTAAATTATTTTGACTCATCTGGAGGCATGCAGCTTTAAGGGTATTTGATTGTAACTTAAAGCATTATGAATAAATAATATTCACTTAATGAATAAATATCACAGATTATAAATATTAACCATAGGTATGTTTTAAGTTCGATCAAGTATATTGTAATTGATATTTACTTTGCGTAATGCAAAATAGCATTTCTTTTATACATAGCACGTGCCTTAGAATGTCTGTCGTGCGATAACAGATGTATCAGTAATACATCGTGACTTGTTAAGAGTATTTACACGAATATATAGCTGCATTTAACCTTATTTTGAATTAATTTTACATTTACAACTACGCGCTATATATTTTAGCATTATTATTCTTATTCATATTCATATTTATTCTTACTTTACTTTGTCTCATCACGTGCTTTGAATTATGTTACGAAAAGTTGAAATTCGGCTCAGACACATTCTTTTTCGCATACATTTTGTATTTATAATATTGGTGTAATGATAAAAATACGTACATCATATATCACTAATCTCATTACACTACGTTCATTGAAACCTGTCATAAACGGCAACCACATTTATACTCTAGCTACTTTATCATGGTTATTTTACAAATTGTCCAAAACTTAGTCAACCAGTGTTACAGCGCTGTTACACGCTTCAAGTTGTCAATGCCAGGTAAATATGAATTGCATATTTTTTACGAACAATATACCAAAAACATAACATGTTTCCTATTTATATTATCTGTTGAAATCTACAATCATATATCAATACAAATGTCATCGTTCCTTAGAACTCTTGATTTGATTATTTTTTACTTTTCTCGTCACCCTACTTCCAAAATCCTACATCTCCTTAGACAGTATTTTTTTCCTATAACGTTCGCTTACAACCCCTCAGCTATTTTATCGCCTGAATTGGTCGGTACGAACGTAATATCACATTTTTCCCCATTATACAACTTACAATATATCACTAGATGTAAATCCTACGAAAATTAGAAAAAATAAATTCTTACCTATTGCCCATATTAAAGCTGCAATAATGTTTCTGGTATCCATGATTTTTTGTTTTAAACACAGTCAAATTACATAAACAGTACAGGACACAGTATATCTCCTTGTATAAACACCAATCCAGACTGATTTATTTTACTTACTTTACCATAAACGAACGTCTCGGTCCCGTGACATGCCTAAATGATATGTTAACTCTGACAGGTGCTTTAATTAATGCGTCAAATGATGGCTGCAAATAGTTATTGATGCACTTATACAATGTACTGTAAACATAATTTACTTAATATATAGTTTGTTAACTAAAATGAAAAATAAAACATGTGTGATTTTATCTCATATATCTACTTGTTGTGCATACCTACACAAAAACATAACCATAAATCTTTATATAAAAACAAATTATTTGCGGACCAGGAAATGGTCACGCGTCTATACAGTATCATGTGCATACTTTCCTTAAACATGTGCATCATTTTTTATAAACCTATACATAATCAGCTGATTACTTGCAAGCGCTCTGTCATCTCAATCTTGATCTATTAAAAATCATAATAAAATAAAATGAAATAAATAATAATAATAAAACAACATATAATATCACTAAACTGACTGTGTAAGTTTGCATTATCTCAATTTATTTTTATTTCTCGATGACAATACATGTAAAACAATTGAGAGTATATATCATCTCGTAATTTACAAAAATTAAATTTGTCAAGTACGAAGCACACGTTTGACCAATTTAATGTAGTAAATACATACTAAAAACACTGACCAATTTAGTATTTGAAATTATTTTTGATAAAACTGTCGATATAGAAGATTGATTAAATATAGCCGATTTACTTAAGTAAATGTGTTACGATTCATTTGAAATACTGCAGTTCTATTTAACAAAAAAAATTGTCAAACACTTTATATACTATAATATGGAATTTAAACTTGCAATCTTAACTTCTTTGGTCGCTATATCTAAAGAAGAGAATGATATAGGCTTTTAATATATAAAATGATAGTTTTAACACAACATGAGTATAAAGTTAGCTGAAGAAGATATATATGGCAGATTATTGCATGAAACTGGATTGTTCAAATCAAGAAATTATTGATGCTTAAATAGATGTTCTTTTTTAGTGATATTGAAATCTTAAAGTTAAGAAAATCTTATTCAATAACAACCTTACAAACCATTAATAACTTTTTGAAATAATAAATAAATGCTTAGATATATTTAATTTAGCCCAGGAACACGTGTCTTTTGTTCTTATTTTGTTAGTTTTTCCTGATATGCAAATGATGTTAAATTAGATATAGTAAATTTACACGGCCACGGTAAGTTTGAATTTAGCTTAAAATTGAATAAATAACGCGAATAAGAATTGTAACACTTCTAATGAGAAAACTTGTATTTAATGCAATAACAGTTTGAATAAAAAATATCAATACTGCGTATTTATTGGTATTTGCACGTAAATATTTTTCTGCAGCTATGTAAGTCTATTCAGTGAATTAGTGCTTGTCATGCAGATGTTTTTATTTACAAATGTACTAACTTCTGTTACAAATTTATGTAAGTAATTTACCATTCATTTACTCTAAGATAAGTTTAAACTAGGATTGAATGAAATTTTAGTTAACATCCAATGGCATATGTGCGAATGATATACCTAAAGAATTGCATAGCAAAAATGACAAAAAAATAAAGGGTACACTATAAGTTTTGAGTAGTTATTTATCACATAATTATGAATCAGAAATGTCTACAGAAATAAAGCTTTAGCTATACCATTATTTACAGATATAAATAAATGCAGTTAATAAAAAATTACTAAACGATACATGAATATCGAAAAAGCATAGATGTGTGACCCACACAGGGACGATTCAATCAGAATATCAAAAGAGAATAACAGTATTGACTTATGAATCATATCCACGACCCCATGAAATAAAGCACAGAACAATATAGCCTTTGACTGACAATATTAACTGCTGAAACATCTTGGTCATAAAATAGATAAAAAAGAAAAAAAATCACATTTTAAGATTATTTCTTTTATCTTTTTTAATTTTTGTATTCAATAGTAAGATGAATTCATGCTAATTGTTTATGAAATAAATAATATACTCAGAGCATGTAATACATACACGTGCTCCGGATACGTGGCATAACGTACCCTAGTTGTTGAAAATTCATGAAACTGAGACATACATAAACATCACTTGGTTTATCAGTCCCTTTTCAAAATAAGGAAAAGGTAAAAAATGAATAAGTGAGAATTTAATAAGGGCAATCAAGAAGTATCTTCATCAAGAGTTCCTGGTTTAATTGCTCTTGGGAGAGGTTAGCGTTTCCTACTCATGCTGAAATATTATTAATGATCGTAATATGGAATTGCACAGGAATAACCTGTCAAATTCTCTAAATTATTGTTGAACTGGCTTCGTAATGCTCTGAATCGAAACTCATTGCTGTCATGTTAGGTGCTTAACAGACAATGATGACGGAAAAAACGGGATAGTGAGAATGGCTGATAGCATACGTCAACATATTATCAAAGGTTAAACATATGCTGACCACCCACTAAACGATCCTTTAAATTCATATCACCAACAAAAAGCCTACTAAAAATATTATTGTTATGTATTTATATGCAACTCGGCGAATTTGCGACCTTCTCACTTTGTGGTCCCAACATTTTAAGCCAACGCTACGTGTTGCATTGATACGGATGATTTCATCTTTAAAACTATCCATGCGGATTTTTTTCTGTTGGTTTCTTAATCATAATGCATCTTTTTTTTTTTCAAATTCTTAGTAAACACTTTAGAAAAGATAAATTTGTTGACAAATCAACGGACAAGAAACTATACTATATAAAACTATAGCCTTATCATTGACGATTTCCTAAAGAAGAAGAAAAAAAGAGATTTATTTGTCATAATCCTTTTTAACATGGTATCAAAGGTAAGTCGATTTATTATATATAATTATATATACACTATATACACTTACTTTTACGGACACAAACTGTAAAATATTCATCATCTTATTTTTATCTCGGCAGGTGTTTTCGCTGAGACGATTTAGAGATTTTTTTAATGAATCTTTAAGATAGGTTGCCAGTTATTTACGTAAAGTCCAAGAAATGAACACCCGTTATGTACTTCCATATTGGTATATGATATAAGTACTGTAGAACTGATCCGAAACAGCAAATAATGATGAAATGATTCCTTTTGGATCACTTGCGTTATATATTACAAGTCACAACCATTTCTTTAAATAATAAGTGCGATTAACATTAATGATCTCAATCAATCAACTGTCATATAACTTCACTTCAATAGATAAATTAAACATTTTTTCAGAAAATGATTTCGAACCGCATGATTTTTTCTTGGGTGTTACTGATCAGTTTTATATGCTGCATCCTCATAGCTGATCTTGAATGTAAACGTCATTCTAAAGCTGAGAAGAAGTTCTCAGAGGAAGATAGCAGTTCATTTTCTAACAACGAAAATGGCGATCAACTTGGGTCAGATGAAAGTAGCCAAGAACGAGCGAACGAAAAGCATCCGCGGTCAAGAAAAGAAAGTTCAAAAAGCATATATTCGACAATATCAGACCAAAGGATCATTAAAGAAACAGATTCAAGTTCTGAAAATACTAATAGTAATTATCTACAAGATATAGATACTGATAATGACAAAAGCGCTGAAAAGACTTTAAGAGAAGATTCGAGCGTCAGAAGAAAGCAAATCAAACCAAAGTATTTGGATGACGAAGAAGTTTACGAAACATTTGAAAGAAAATCTTATTCGTCAAATCCAGAAAATAGAAATGATATTGGCACTGCAAGCAGAAGAACACTTACTGAGGAAAATTCCATCAGCCAAGAAAGTGAAGAAACTTCAAGAAACAAAGAACGAGAGATTAATGAATTGAAAGTAAGCAAGAAGCGTGATAAAAAGGGTAAAGATAGAACGGAGCCGTCTGATTCAAAATCAATCTATCATGAAAACGATGTAGACAAAACTGAAAGGAGTAGAGGAAAGACCAGTAGAGAAAACGAATACAATGAAAATAGCAGAGATAAGACCGGGATTGAAAACGAATTCAATGAAAAGAGCAGAGATAAGACCGGGAGTGAAAACGAATACAATGAAAATAGTAAAGATAAGACCGGGAGTGAAAACGTATACAATGAAAATAGTAGAGATAAGACCGGGAGTGAAAACGAATACAATGAAAATAGTAAAGATAAGACCGGGAGTGAAAACGTACACAATGAAAATAGTAGAGATAAGACCGGGAGTGAAAACGAATACAATGAAAAGAGCAGAGATAAGACCGGGAGTGAAAACGAATACAATGAAAATAGTAAAGATAAGACCGGGAGTGAAAACGTATACAATGAAAATAGTAGAGATAAGACCGGGAGTGAAAACGAATACATTGAAAAGAGCAGAGATAAAACTGGGACAGAAAACGAATACAATGATAATAGAAGAGAAAAGACCGGGAGTGAAAACGTTTACAATGAAAAGAGCAGTATTATTATGTCAAAACATTCCTATGGGGATCTTAACTATCAAGGTGGCAGGAGTTCGGAACAGAAACATACATTGACAAATGACAGCAGTGGAGCATCGGGAAATGCTGGTTCCGGGAGAAAGCATTCAAAAGACGACCGAAGCCAAACCAAATATATTGAAATATCAAAACCCATTTTGTTTACGCCTTATGACAATAATGTTCTGTACTCAGAAAACAGCGTTTTAAGCACAACTGTAAGTTCTACAAAATACCAGACCTCTATATCAAACATGTTATCAACAACAACAACAAACAAACCAAGCAAATCATCGACAGGAATTATAAATGCAAGACAAGATAAAGAAGAAGAAATGGTTGACACATTAAATACTGCACCGGGAATAGTAATAAAACAGCCATTTACTGGTCGTAAAAAGTGCATTGAAAGAACGCCTCCTTGTTGTGTTCCCGGTCAGGTTGATATAAATCTTGGTGAGTGTCATGTTGGCTTTTATTAACTGCAATGCATCTTTATTTTCTGTTAAGTAGTTCACACAAACGTAAATAATCATAAATGAATATTTGAAGGTCTGTAGTCAAGTATATGCATGATTTTCAGTTTCAAATAGATATCCATAGATACAATAAAAATGTGTTTTAAGATGTTCTTTGATGAAAAAAAAACATGATTTAGAAAAGTCGTTTTCTTTTTCGTAACGCGATCTGTAATTTCCACCGCCATTTTAACTGATGACCTAGGAATATCCTTACTTAATTTTGTTAACCCTCATGTCAGTTATGCCTATGTGTAAATACCTCAACATATCTATTGTTTTGTGTCATTTTGCGTATTGTACAATTTTTTGTTTCTAAACGAATATTATGTAAGAAGAATAAAGATTTTCTTTTGAAATTTAAGTGCTCTACGCGAACGCGACCATAAATGCAGCCGATTTTTAAACTCAAATGGCCATTCAATTATTCAACTGGATTGCAAAACAAACAAGGATAGAGACAAATAAAATAGACAAAAACACATCCTCAAGGCTCTTATTTCTAAACAATTTACGGCTTTATTGACAGATTTTGATGTACATATTAAATTTTATTAGACGTCTATTTTCTGATTTGGTATACTATCTTAGCATAGTGTCCTCTTCCTCTGATTATTATCTACATCATTATCTCTATAGTATTTCATCAAGGCTGCATTCGTGCAATGTTTTGAACAATTTTGTCAAGTGATTTTGTGTGTGTGTATTTAGGTACAATTAATTATAAAGCACGGGTAAAGGGCGACTTGGATGGTGTTAGTGCAACAGTATCTACAAAGCCACAGAGAGCATACAAACGATGTAGCAATGGCGCTGTTATTAAGGTTACAAATAACTTTGTCTTTTTTGTAATATTGTAAATTCATAGTATGAAGTAATCGCTTTAATTCAAACTGGGACATACGATAAGTACAATAATTGCAGATTCAAATGCAGTGACGAGTGCGTGTGACGTCACACGTACTGTGTTAAATATGGCTCTGCCCCTGTCGTAAAATGAATAACGAGTTTTGAAAACGTTTATAAAACTTTGTTTATTTTATTTCACTCTAGTCGTCTAGTGGTAATGTAATATGAATACATTTTCTCCTGGTTCACTATTTAAGTGACAGTATGCTAAAAAAAATTACCGCCGTCAAGTTCAGGTGCTTTACCTACATAATCTAAAGATTTACTATTTGAATGGTCACTGATCTATAATTGCTAATTGAAAAAGTTAAGAACTGCCGAAATTATAAATAAACTGCCCACTTTTTTATCATCACATGGACGTTATTGCTACATTCTGAAGGGTATCTTTAGAATTTTTCGGGTGTCATGTCGTAGATGTGAACATCAATATAAAACTGATAGCATTGTGGCCTTTTTGTTTGGCTTACCATTCACTATTCACGCTTTAATCGACACAATGACTTTTTAATTGCGTATACCTTCATTTACATGCATTAAGACTGGCATGGAAAATACATAAATGTAATGTTTCTCTATTTTTACACTAAGACTAAATTGTCTGTGGTGTACTCTTGCAAAATAAAAGCTCTCATGACGTCATACGGTTTTACTCATATCAATTAAAATTGCAAACTTTTTCAAATAAAGAAGATTGTATTCAAAGCTTGGTTTAATTGACAAATTCAGGTAACATTTGATCCAATGGGGAACGAAGGTTGTTTTGGGTGTACTAAAGGACCTTTCTGTGGCCGTCGTCTGCTACAGACTTGATTCTTGACCGTCTAGATAACAGGCCGCTCGTGATACACTCGTTGTACATCACGACCGCCATTCACTAAAGATGGTCATGTATTAATTTTAACATATATTTAAACAGAATTACATACACAATCCTTTGGTTTAGATACATACAGATTTCGAAATATCTTCGTAACATCAGATTATGAATTTATCCATCCAAACCGGATACGGACCTAACTTTTCTCAGCTTTACGTACGGGTGCATCTAATAAGGATAATTTCTCGTACTAAACAATTGACAGCTTGCTCACAGTATTGAGGCGCCTTGTGTAATTAAAGAACTCACGAGAACAGTTTTAGTTTCTTATCGCATATCGTCGTTATCATTTCGACATAAAAAATCAACTAAATTATAACAAATATATTGTGCACAATATCTATACACATTAATTTGTAATGAACTATAATCATACGCGACCATTGAACCTCAAATTCCCATTTTCCATTTTATGGCAATATTTCATTGTGTTTATAAATATTTCACATTCATTTAGTGATTTTAGGTCATCGAAAGACATATTTCACATTTCGTTAATGATTTAATTAATTGAAAATTGCAGGCCTAAATATAATCATATATACACGAGTTTCTGCAACAGTTTTAGCCAGAAAATTATATCAGTGCGCACAAAAGAAAATTTGTCTAATAATCTTAAAGTTTGTGTTTAATTAATAATTTATCACGCCCTCATGATACAATTCCTCGCATCCGAACTCCGAACAGTGATTATAGTTAGCGTTAAATCACTGTTGGGGATATATTATTGCGATTCTAACGTGTCAATGGAACATTGCTCCAGCATTTCTGAGTGCAGGTCGTGTTAGAATAAGACAAAAGTTATTGTATGACATTCGTAATGGCTTTGTGTCAAAATTATGAACCTCAAACAAAATTATTTACGATGTTTCAGATGGCGCATCGTGCATATAATTCCTCGCATCCGAACATCCGAACAGTGATATTATAAGCGTTAATCACTGTTGGGATATATTATTTCGATTCTACGTGTCAAGGAAATAAACAACCTTGCCTCCAACATTTCTGAGTGCGAAGGTCGTCGTTGAATAAGACAAAGTTATTGTATGACATTCGTTGTCTTGTGTCAAAATTATAAACCTCAAACAAAATTATTTACATGTTTCAGATGGCGCAATCGTCGCATGTGTATTCCACATGTTCAAAATTTATCCTCATAAACTCTGCCGGAAACTCATCAAGTCACGTGATGATTATGGGCGTGAAAAACTCGCGTACTAATAAGATCGACCTGTTTCAACTCGGAAACCAATTTATGCGCATGACCAATGAGAAACAATCGTCTGGGATGAAAATTTTTGCATGAACGATTGTTTCATTGAACCGGACATTTTGATCCGGCAGTGGCGGGCGATGTCTCCGAATGAACATTACAATTGGAATAAATAGACACCTAGATTCCACAAAGCGATGAAGACACGAGTTTTCCTGAGTATGCTACCGCCTCATTAAACGTGGACATCGTCCTTGGCTAAGAAACATAAGGCATTACATGTTTTTCTTCTTTACTTCATTGTATAAAGTAGAAATAAAAGACCAAAGAATTACTTCACTTGTATCTTTTGTGTTTCATTTTAATTATTGCTTCCAATGTGCGCATTTAATTATTCAAACCATGTGCATAAACATTATCCCTCTACTTCACACAAATATAACTTTTTCTATTCTAGGCTAAACATAGTGCACACATATTTATCAACCACTTTTAATGAGTAAAGAACATGTAATGGAAAGAGCATCGAAACACGAGGTCATCTGATTTGTACAAGCCTCAGGGGGCCGTAGCCCCGAATATTAATCAGATCTGCCGAGTGTTTTGGTGTTGTTTCTCTCTTTGATCATAGTCAAATTAAAAAAACCGTTCCCTGATGTTCCCCAAAAACAAACAACATAATTGACAAAACCCCCCAAAAGAAAAAAAATTGGTTAACAATGAACCAATGAACGGAGCATATGATATTCTATCTCTCTGTCCGTCACAATATGTAAAAACCCAGACAAAATGACTTTTCAATGCGGCATGCTCTGAAGTGCGGGTAACTAATACCCTGCACTCCAGTTAACGCACTGTGCAATGTTATATGAGTTAACTTTTGACACATTTTTCAACAGAAAGGTCCCCAACTATGATACAATTTATTTTTACATTGAAAAGAACTATAAGCATCGGATCATTTGCCCCGCCAGTTTATACCGGAATACAGTTTGCACACTGATGGCTTATTTTTCTTTGTTATTAAGTAACATTCTCGCCCTTACGCTTTTGATTAATCTGTTGTTAATTACAGTAGCATGCAAATTGTTATCACTATAACTGCCCGTAGGAGTGTCCTTTATCACATGTGTACTAAATTACTTTTAACCTTCATACCAATGCGACAAAACATCTCAATGATGGACAAATGTTGCAACAGCAATTCTACAACCAAACCTGACCAAAGTCTATTTCAAACCGACCACAGTCATGTACATTTAATGTAGATAGTAAATAAAATTGACGAGGCATTTTTTTCTGTTCTTATTGTTATTTTTTTTGTTTTGTTTTCATGGCCTTTATAATTATGTTCATCTAATTGGCACGTAAGACATTAATTTTTTATCCATCTGTTTTTAATGACGCTGTCGGTAGAATCCTGTGTTTATCACTATGGATAAACTTAATTAGAAGTAATCTTATACACAGTCGGCTTCAAAGGTTATAGTTGATCCCAAATCATTAATCTATGGTCACTTGAGAAATTTTTTTAATACTTCTGAGCAAAAAAAATCTCTAGATGTCGGCTTCTCCAGAATAAAAAATTGAAATGAAGTAATTAACTACTTTTTCTCATAAATGGGTTTCATTAACAGTTTATAAGTTTTATCTTCTAATGAAAATAGTTCAGAGTAACGTTATTCCTTAAAAAAAGAATAAATGTTAATTTAAGTTTTAAAATTTATAATGGCCTTTAACTCACAAGCTTTGACGCGAGCTGTACTGTTCTCTTGCACTTGTAAATGACCTCCCACGACGTAATTAAATCCTGTACATTTAACTCAGGCAAACATATATTCAGTGTATCTCTCTGCCTTGTATTAATATGAATATAACAAAATGGAAGTCATTTCACATCACCCACGCATTTCTGAAACGCTACTGTTATAAAAAATCTATATTAGAACATCGTATGAAACTGTACTGATGAACATGGTTCAAGGTTGAACACGACAGACCAAGACATGAAAACAAACAAATACAGACTTAGATAATACCGCCCAAAAGTACCACTGTTCAATAGACAGATAGACCCGATTATGGTGAACTCCCCAGGACCCATGCATAATGTAACGTTATAGCCCGAGGTTTATCTAGCCAATAAACAAACTGGTAATCTCTTCAACCAGCGCCACTCAATACCATCTCTAAACTATTATTCCGGCAAAGTGTGGTGAGTGAAGTGTCTGAAAATATTACACCTACACTTTCATATAAAATTATATCATAGAATATAAATGTCAGAAAAATATATTCCGGTCACAACCCTTGATTAGAATCCCCTAATGTTGACAATAAGATAAAGAAGGGAGTGTGCGATATATCAGAATCTGGCTATACGCGCTGAGAGCACAACTGTACCAATGGCAATTTGTAACAGTTAAAAAGATAGTGATTCATTCCCATTATCTATAATTGCACAGCGATGTTTCTCATTCTCCATATCAACTGATATAAGTAGTTATTAGTATATGAAACGAGTTAGTTACGAGGAATATAACAATGACTGAGACGACATCTAGGGAATGTTTCTGCTAAAATAAATGGCGAGCCCGTTTGGCGAGACAGTTTTTTTGGGCAGAAAGCATCGAGATGCTCGCCCCAGCCAGTGTCCTATGGCCCTCCGTAAACTAACGAGTTTCATATAGCTAATAACTGTTTTACGTCGCATTTTCATTTTTTGTAATAGAAATCAGAAAAAATACAAAGAAAAAACACCAACAAAAAAGCGCTGAATTTCACTCGTCTTCGTGGCCTTTGCTTTTCACCTTGTGACTCTTCAGATAAAATCGACAACAATGATCGTCGTAAGCTACTCTACACACCCCCAGTTACAACCAGAGCCATCGGTGATCTGATCGTTAGTTTTTGAGCCAAATTATGGAGTGAACCGATGACATCACGAACGGATCATTTGTTTAGTTCAGTGGTAAGAGTCGGAAATAATATCCCTCAACCGCAGTGAGCACCAAAAAGGTATATTTCCACGGATCGGCGCAGCCACGAGTGAAATATGAACTTTTGGTGTTCACCAAGGTCCGACAATATTTATCTTCAATCTTCACCTAACACTTAAACACAATTTTTACTTTTTATTAATATGCAAGAAAACGTTTACAAAAAACATGTTAACCTGCTCACTCCGAATGAAAAGCGCGCCAAACTGTAATAATCATACCAGCACAGTACTCATATACGACGTCACGTCACTTAAGTTGGCTTCCCAGTACTCCGATGCCCGACTGGTATTTCATGAAATTACACGTACAGGGGCTCTAAATCTTCAACACACAGTCGAAATTGATCAAGTGCGTCATTCTTCCTGTTTCAAACAGTGGAGCAAATTACCATCTTTTTATACTCACTGATAATTTCTATAAACAGTACACCGAGAACAAGCCAATGTAATAACAACGTATCTTAGCACACCGCATATCACCGTATTGGTCACACCCTGGTTCTCCCACTATCAAAACTGCCTATTGGGGAAAGATAAGTTTCCAGTGCGGTGAAAAACTTACCGTTGGACATTTTTAACATTTTTTAAAATTCTAGATCGGCTGAAGAAATATTTTTATAAATACTGACAGCAATCGATATCAGAGAATATGCAAAGCTCTTAATCACCGATATCGCCGATCGGGACAAAAGATGACCAAATATGAATCACGCGGCCTG